TCTCTCTCTTCGATGCTATTGCGTCAAACGGCACACTGTTTCACAATTTCTTCTCAGGTTCCAACACTCGGTACCTTTATTTTAATACGCTCCATCAGATAAAAGGTAAATACTGTAACTCGATATAGGCTCTCGTTACAGGTGCGAAATACTTGTCACGACGAGGGTAATCGCCGAACTTATAAAAGCCCGAAATATTGAACAAGGCATCGCTAGTGAGAAATGACTTGATATTTTACACAGTGGATGGAATCTACGGCATAGAGTTTATACAACGGATGAGAAGCGCTGACCTCTAACGAGTTTAACGTTGCACACCTACGAGTTCGCATTTCATCGAGAACGAAAATCCACGGCCAAAATAAACTTTAGAATTTTCCGAAAGCAGCACGCTGAATGCAGATCTACCGTTGATACACAGAGACGTGCCCGCTATATGGCCGCAACAGCGCGAGTAATTGAACGTTCCAAGAGATGCGAACGCAACAACAATAAATTCCAGCAACAAATCTAACGCGCAATAGCAAGAATCAGCGAATTCCCCCTAGGAGCTTAGCTTGCGGACGTGAGTCGCGGCTAGCGTGCAGCGTCTGACTGAGAATCGCTGTTAGCAGACACACGCAGTCCACACTCACTCTCGGCTCGCTACCCACGGTAAGCTGCGCAGCGCCCTGGACCACGCAAGACGCCCCGGCAAACCGCGTCCGAATACGTGGCTCACAGCCGCAAGGCAGCATCGCAGTCAATATTGACGAGCATCTTACCACATATTGGCCAACATCGTTACACATATTGGACGAGCATGCTTACACAGCCGCAGTTCCCCGCGATGTATAACCTCAAGTAAAGGCATCTTTTCACAGGATCCTTATAATAGCCTATTATTAGTCTAAATATAAGATGTCACTGGTCAACCATCTGAGCGCTAGATGCCACGAAATAGCGCAGCAGCCTCCTGCTATACAGGACTTCAAACAGGCATCATCATAAACGGATCGACAAAACAAAAACACACACGCGCCGCGCACGCACGCACATATCACGCACACACACGCCAACACACACACGCGGCGCGCGCCACGCCAGCGCAACGCAACAATCACACACACACACCACACACACACACCAAATCACTACACACACACAACCAAACACACATCACACGCAAACAACACACACACACCACACATACCACCGGCGCCGCGCGCGCACGTCCACGCACGCGAACATCACACACACACTACACACGACACACACACACTACCCACATAACCACACAACTTACATAGGGTTAGGGTTAGGGTTAGGGTTAGTCAGAAATAGATAAACGAGCCAGGTCAAACAGAGGTCAGGGGGACAGAGACCAGTAATAGACCTGATATTCTACCGTTCGCAGCCGAATATTGCAGACGGTCAGCCGACAACTATTCTAACCATAGAAATAATATAGATACTAAATAATGTCTCAATATATTTCCAGGATTCTAACGCACCTATGCATGCGTCTATGTTGCAATCCTTCGTCTCGCTGATGGTAGAGGTCGCCTCGTCCGTGTAGCAGTCTGCGCCTCCGTTCTCCGGTGCCGGACATCCGCACGTCCTGTTACGTAACGTCTTACCGACGTCACAGCTCTTGGTACATTCGGACCAAGGCTCCCAGTCGCACCAGTCTCCACTAACTGCGAGATAGAGCGATAGATGTTTCAGTTCCAAAGATACAGCCGTCGAGCATGTTTATAGCTAGCTCTAGAACTATAGCCCTCACAGGCGACTGTGGCGGAGCCAGGGGCTATAGTTCTAGAACTAGTGTATACCAAGTCTAAACTGAGATTAATTTGTAGTAATAGATCAGAGATGTGTTTAATAGAGACCGTTTCATAAACGAGGGCAGGGTTTTGACGCTTTGCACGGTTGTAACTGTAGAAATCTACGTATATCATATGCAACGGGTTACATATCGTTAAAAAATAAAAACTATACACAGCAAGAAGAAGAGGTCCTCGTTGAAGACTCGTTGAAGAGGTTACATCGTTGAAGACTAAAAACTATTCACTGTAAGAAAAAGCGATCGATCCCTTACCTGGGCATGGTGGTACGGGCGGGTCAGTGCACGCGCCGGTTTCTGTCGGCAGTCCTATACAAGTGGTGCTGACGTAACCATCTGGTGTCATGCACTGCCGGTATCGGGACACAGTGGCGTTCTCTCCACACTCCTGACTGCACTGCGTCCACGGTGTCCATTCCGACCACGTCGCTGCAACCATATTGACCCAACACTGAATAACGCACACCTGCATGCCAACATGCAATTAACTGACTGACCAGTACATTTACATGTACCCGTTGGCACACCGCACAAGCCTTGTTTACACGGAGTCACATTAACCCGAGTTAAGCTAATCCGAGTTAACACCTAATCCGAGTTAAGAAACACGCATCGTCTATACGGATTCACCTTAACCCGAGTTAACACTTAACCCGAGTTAAGCTAACCCGAGTTAACACTTAACCCGAATTAACAAACACGCATCGTCTATACGGAGTCACCTTAATCCGAGTTAACACTTAACCCGAGTTAAGAAACACGCATCGTCTATACGGAGTCACCTTAACCCGAGTTAACAAACACGCATCGTCTACACGGAGCTTGTGATAGACGGACACCTAGATATTCAGTGAATAATGAATCACAGAGACTCGTATCGAAATGCTATTTATTGATTAATGTATCCTAGCTTATGCATCGTTGATGTACTCTAGGCACTATCGACGCGGGTAGCTAGAATCGTACGTTCTGATGAAAATTCTAACGTTGTAATTTTGCAACATCTAACGCTTTATTGGGAACCGTCAAACTACCTCAATTGTATTGTTACTTCCACGTAATTTAGCTAGTATTGTACCTTCGCATTCCTTCAGGAAGCAGAGTTCTCTATCGATGTAGCAGATGCTGCGTGGAGGTTGGAAAACGATGATCATTAATTAGTCAGGCAACATTTTAATTAGATCACGCGGCATCAGTCACAGCATCAAGAGCGTACTTAATACTTAATGCTTAAGCGTACTTAATATGCTCTTTACAGTAATGCCTAAGTATGCTTAAGCATACTTAATACGCTCTTGACAGTATCTTCCAACACTTAATCATCGGATTAGGTTGGCATTATATGGAGTTATAACGATGCCCATTGATAGGTAACCGCCCAGCCCTCCACAACCCCGCCGCCATAGCCCGGGGGGTGGGTACTCACTTTTTTGGGGGTGCTCCACCGAAATGGGAAAATAGAGGACAAAAAGATGGCTTGACGGTGAAAACATGGGGCAAAAAGATCGGAAGGGAAAAATTGGGGGGCAAAAAGATGGCTAGGAAAAAATTTTTGGGGCAAAAAGATGGCAAGGAAAACGAAAAATTGGGGGCAATAATGCGGCGCGAATATGTCTATCTATCTATCTATCTATCTATCTATCTATCTATCTATCTATCTATCTACACACACATACACACATGCACGTACGCACGCACGCACACACACACACGCGCGCGCGCACACACACACACACACACGCACGCGCGCGCGCGCGCGCGTATGTGTATATATATATATTACCTTCTTCTCCCTCTCTTGCAATGCATCCTCTTTCGTAGTAGGTCCACAATACGTACCATACTACTGTTACAAACATATGCCTACACGAATCGGATCCGAGTTAATTATAATATATTTTATCGCCTCCATTTGGCAGCTGCCGATATGAACTTGTCGCTCGTAATGCTCCCTCAGCCAGCTATTAATAATCCTCTGACAAATTACCAAAATTGGTATATAAATTCGATATATTATTAATATTTGGAGATAACTTAATTGCTAATAATGTTGGCGCATATGGTTTCAGCAACAGCCGTGAGATTCGTTACGAAGAGATTTATTGGCGACTACGACCCAACACTGGAGAGAGTATATACGACTAAAGCAGAAGTCGACGACGACGTGATTATCTTCGAAGTACTCGACACCGCTGGGCAGGTACAAGATAACGCACTGTACCATAGAGTGTAATCATTGCGTTAGTATAATTTGCATTTTTATGCGAGAAAAATTTGTCAGACCATATGAAATTAAAGGGGCGATAAAAATTGAAACATTTGTTGTACACCCATAAATAGAGCGTCTAAAACTACTCATAAACAGCAGTAATAACACTAACGTCGGCGGGAAAGTCGAATAATCGATCGTTTTCATTTCCGGTTAAGATGCTATGTCTCAATTCGCTTTAAGAATTTTTGGTCGAGGTTATTCTAAATTTGGCGAAGATGAATTATGTCGAATAATGATTACCTGGACGAAATAGTGCATGTCATATTCTACATAGCTGTTAACTATTTAGCAGGTGGCTGAAAATTGAAATGGCGTCAGAAGTATTAACCCATCAGGCGTGATGTAATATGAGAGACGATGCTAATAGTGATAACACTAATTGTATCAGACTCACATAATGAGTCTTTGTCATAGAGTCGTGATTGAGTGTTATTGTGTTACAGCTGATTAGACAGCTATGTTCGCGAGATGATGCAAGTCAGTCCCATTCATTACCATATAGTCACTGTGAGCGGGTTCGTTTCAGGACATGGAGGACATATCTGCTCGCATAGAGGACCATATACGATGGGCCGACGGCTATGTCATCATGTACTCCATCAACGACAAGTGCAGCTTCGACGAATGCATGCGCTTAAAATTCCTCATCAACCACATCCGCAAGCGAGGTCGCAAACTGAGCCACGGACACGCGAACGAGTGCCCTGTAATACTCGTCGGCAACAAGTCAGACATGATCGGCGACCGCATGGTGTCCTTCGAGCAGGGTAAGCGCCGCTCGCTCGAGCTCGCCTGCGTCAACTTTCACGAGATCTCGGCGCGCGAGAGCTACGGCGAAGTGCTGCTCATTTTCGAGGACCTGTACAGGAACTGGCGGCGCGTGAAGAAGGAGCACAAGGTGACGCGAGCCAACACGGACGAGGGCGTCAACAAGCTGCCGCGGCTCAGTCCGACGGCGAGTCCCTCTCGCAGATCACTCGAGGAGAAGACGAAGAGACCTGGCGAGCTGGTTCGATGGATTTCGGCGGACGCAGGCAAGCGGTCGAAGGACGTCGACCTTCTAGAGGTTCCTACAGACGTGCTGAGCGAGAGACGCATGAGCGTGAGCATGCAGGGCAGCGTGTCGCAGCTATTCGTGCACGGATGATGCTGTACTGTACGAACGCACCCAACCCCACTGATAAGGAGCTGCTGCGCTATTCGTGTCATCTAGGTCAAGTTGACCAGTGACATCTTATATTAGACTACATAATAGGCTATTATAAGATCTCTGTGAAGATGCCTACTGAGGTTATACATCGCGGGACCTGCGCTGTGTAAGATGCTCGTCAATATGTGTAAGATGTTGGCCAATATGTGTAAGATGCTCGTCAATATGACTGCCGATGCTGCCTGCGGCTGCTGAGCCCACGTATCGACGCGTGCGGGCGTCTGCGTGCCAGGCGCTGCGCAGCTTACCGTGGTAGCGAGCCGAGAGTGAGTGTGGACTGCGTGTCTGCTAACACGCATTCGTCAGACGCGCACGCAGCCGCGAACTCACGTCGCAAGCAACTCCTAGGGGGAATTCGCTGATTCTTCTATTCGCGTTAGATTTGTTGCTGATTTATGTTGTGCGTTCGATCTGGAACTTTTACTCGCGCTGTTGCGGCCATATATGCGGCCGGTTCTGTGTATCAACGGTAGATCTGCAATCAGGTGTGCTTTCGAAAATTCTAAAGTTTATTTTGGCGTGGATTTTCGTTTCGATGGAAATGCGAATCGTAGTGTGCAACGTAACTCGTTAGAGGTCAGCGCTTTCTCATCCGTTGTATAACTCATATGCCGTAGATTCCATCCACTGTAGTAAAATATCAAGTCATTTCTCACTAGCGATGCCTTGTAATATTTCGGCTTTTATAAGTCGGCGATTACCCTCGTCGTGACAGTATTCGCACCTGTAACGAGAGCCTATATCCGAGTACAGTATTACCTTTTATCTGAGCGAGCGTAATTAAAATAAGGTACCGAGTGTTGGAACTGAGAAGAAAGTGAACAGTGTGCGTTGACGCAATAGCATCGAAGAGAGAGAGAGAGAGAGGGCGAAAGCATGATCAGATCTGGTAAAACAAGTCGTCCCATGATTTCCCGCCAAGATGCCGTGTCCAGCCTGCTACGGCGTTTGCCGTCCAGCTCAAGGGACAAAGAGAAGTCGTTCCGCGTTCTGCTTCTAGGACAACCCGGGATCGGTAAAACAGGTAAGAATCCAGCGTCCATGAGTTATAGTCAACGGCAAGCTCGATCAATAAAGGTACCCACACACGCACGCGCGCACGCACTCACAAACGCTCGCAAGCATAAACGTACACGCATACGCAACCGCACGCGGACGCGCACAAGCACACGCACACGCACACGCACCACGCACCACGCACACACTCACGCACACTCACGCGCACGCACGCACACATACACCCAACACACGCACACACTTACAAGCACGCACGCACGCACGCACGCACGCACATATACACACGCGTACGCGCGCGCGCGCACACACACACACACACACACACACACACACACACACACACACACACACACACACCACACACACAGTCCAACGTTTGGCTCGTCACGGGACCGGTCAGTGGCTGTGTGCTTGCGTTAACCACGCATAAAGCTCTGGCAGTCATCAAACGCATTTTGCTGCGAAGAGATTTCATTATAATCATTGCGAACAAGATTTTCACGTGTTCCTTTTGCTGTCTGTTGCTCTCTCTCTCTCTCTCTCTCTCTATCTCTTTCTCGTTCTCGCTATCTATCTCACTCTTTCTCTCTCGCTCTCGCTCTCGCTTTTTATCTCTCTTATTCTCGCTCTTAATCTCTGCCTCTCTCTCTCATTTTCATATTTACATAGGGGAATTTCGAAAATTGAATTATCGAACTCGTGTCGCCGTCAGTTGCTGCTATCTTCACGCTTAACTGACCATTTTATTCTGAGGTTATTGATTCTGCTTTCGTACTCACAAGCGTCCTTTCGTGACTGTAAATCGACACATTCCACTTTTTTTGCATCGTGCGGTGGTGGTATTCATTAAACGTCGTCTAAACGCATTTTAACAAGCTCATGCAAAATATTTCAATGGCGGGCAGGGAACACACGAAGCGGTAGACTAAATCACCGAAGGATCCAGAACATCGACCCAATTCCACAGACATATGTTTGCGGCAGGTTGGTCGCCGCCGCCAGCAGAAATCCCGCACGAGTCTGCAGACAGCCGGTCTGATTAATATTGAACCGTAGGGCCGCACTAGCAACACTTAATGATATTGATTCTCGCTCCGTACAGTATTGCATTGCCAGTAACTCTAATGGGACTCGCCCGTTACATAATACACTGCTCTACGCCCAAGTCAACATTACGCGGGACATACGCGGCTCTGACAATTGATCAAATCAATTACACACACCATGGTTAATATAGTTTCGTGCGTCCCAACTGGCAACGCATAGTGAAATTGATTCTTAGTCTATAGACTCGATATTGACTTTCGCCGAACGATATTAACAGCTCTGAGCGAAATTCGTTTGCCAAATGCAAAGTGCACAATCACTGCTAATGAAAGCAAGCAGCTCTTCCATGACTGTCAATCACGAACTGTATATTAATTGGCTGTGCCTGAAAATGACCACATTAACAAATTGTGTAATTCCCCAATTCGACGAATCGCTAAATCGCTAAACAATATCGCGTCGACTTTATCAACAAGAGAGCATGGGTTTTCCCTAGGCAGCGTGAGACCGTCGCTTGCTCTTGAATTTGCTAGACTGCAGCGACGCAAGACAATTCGGCTGGTTGTGCCACATTGCCTTCGCCTGCTTAGATTTTACGGGCGCGAGCGTGTACGCACTGTGTGCTAGTCGTGATAGAGCGTTGGTAGATCCGTTCCTCCAGGCACATTGATTACTGTGATAGAACGTTAAGCTGGCCGCTCTGCATCGATGTAAGTTCGCCGCTCGATCTGACCCGTTCGCACGCAAATCTGCACAGTAGCATGTACCGGCCGTCGTTTGCTATTAATTGTGTCGCGTGTATGTATATGCGTGTTCTTTTGTTTTTTTCTGCGTCCCAATTAAGCACTGCTTTAATTTGTGTGTAATAATTTTATTCATAAATACATACGCGAGCGCACGCGCACGCACGCACACGCACACGCGCGCACACGCACGCGCACATACACACTCGCTCTCACACAGACCATAGCCGCACGCACGCACGCACACACGCATGCGCACGTACGCCCGGCGTTGCTCGGGAAAACCCGCTTACGAACAACTTTCAGAGCAAATTCTGCCACCGATATTTACTTAATTCCAAGGATAGAGTCTTAACATAGAAACTAAATATGGAGGGGTAAACAATATTCTGACAAAAACAGTTGGAACACAACATAGCCTACAACATACAACATTATTATGAAATTGCGCAAAGTTATTATGCATCTGTCTCTCTGGCTGTGCAAGCCTCGTCTCGCCTTTTAAATACACAATTGGTGACATCTGTCACGTGTCTCTCTCATCATTGGGATTCGCTTTACATCAAAATAATAATGAAAATTCTTATTAGTATTTGAAATAACTGCGTGTTAAGTATCGGAAGAGTTGACAATTCGACTAACAATCAGCAGCATCTAGTGAGTGCACAAGACACATAGAATAGATCACATAGAAATGACAAAGGGAATATGCTGGTAGACTCTCAATTAATGTACAACACATTTGTAGGAACAAATCTTAGTTATATGGGCCGTTCTGGTAGAGAATAGTTTACGTACTAATATATATCCTATTAGATGCCGGATTGTGAAATATCCCTCTCATTATAATTTCTCATAGTATCTCTCCATTATTACAAGCGTTTTGTGCTGCAGAGTATAAGCGACATAACCCGTTTGTTGACTGACCATAATATCAATTTAACTACGATATCAGGTTTTAATGGGTTATTTTGACATTTTTAGGTAAGACGGGAAACCTTTAAACGTATATGGTCACATGCCATAGCAATCTACGGTACACATTTCTCATGGTGATCATGCACAAACCCAACTCGTCCTCCAGGCGTATGACTATTCAGCCATCGTTGGCTCAAACATCAGCCCTTCCCCTTATTTCTTCCTCGCTGTCGCTCTCTTTTTCTCTCTCTCTCTCTGTCTTCTTCTCTCTCTCACCGCCCTCTCTCTCTCTCCTTCTCTATTTTGCCCACATTTTTCCCGTCCGCCCGTGCACTGATCCGACATTATCGTCTATACGTTCAATCGTGCGCTTTTCCCTTATAATTATGTGTAGCCGTCTGTGCCTCTCGCATCCTTTTACTGCCTCTCACACCACCGTAACCAAATGTTGAAGATGGGTAAAATTAGGTTTATTTATTATTTATTTGTTTATTTATTTATTTGATTGTTTATTTATTTATATTATATTTATTCATTTATGCATTTAGATAAGGAATCGGGTATGAATTATTGTAACGTATAGTTGGAAATATACACGACGAGAGGCGTGCGTGTGTGTACTTTCTGGAGGTGCTTGAGTTATCATAGATCGTAACCAAGAACTAGTTTGCCTAATTGGCTCATGTCAATATTCGTAACAACGGCTCGTTAGCGCGACTCAACATGAACTGCTGTTCAAACTCTGAGAGACTGCGTGATGGCTGTCACCAGGCAGTCACGTCACCGACGCCATGTCGTGTCAGCGCTGAATCTTGCCCTGCATGGCTGCCTGTCTGGTTGCGAGCGGCATTTCGAGCGCCTTCACCCCGACCGTACGACGCACGGCCAGGCACGCAGCATTTGCAGCTTTCGTACGCACATCCTGCATCTGCCGGCATGTACGGAAATTGTTCTCTCTCATCGCTATGCACGCACAATAATATCTTGCCAGAATCGCGGTTGCCATAGCAAAGCCAGAGACGCTTAGCACAGGACACGGTTACACAGCCGATCCCGCTGCAACATGCATGCTGTGTAGTGGCTCTGTTGTTGTCAGTCTTCGCTGCATGCTGTTAACACAAGACCTATATTTTCCTACATGATTTACATACCACTAACTACTGTTCTGCTGCCAATATTGCTCCGCATCCAACGTGAACGCAATAAGAGAAGTACGTCTGATCACTATGATGGAATATGCA